TGGTCTGAGATGCTGGTAATTTTTCTTGATTCTTTTCTGGACTCCAAAGAATTTGTCGTTCCATTACACTGTCTGATTGAACTTCTCTTTGAATGTAGGCAATGAGAGTAACAGTGGGAGGTAAGATGTCTCCTCCATCTCTAGATCGAATCATCTGATTATCTCTAATAAGTTCTTTGATTACAGCTGATCCTAATCGGCGACTGAGAGCTTCAAGCAAAAGTTCGCGGAATTCTTCAATGCTAGTATTATAACCCATCCTAACAAGATAGTGAGTTGCAGCCTCAAATCTAGTCTTAAATACTTTGAATTCACTGAGTGTCTTGATTCCTCCTTTACTGACGGCGGAACTGACTAGACTGTTGAGATCTTGCTTCGTGTATTTGACCAGAGGAAGGGCCTTTCCAAATCGATCAAGTAGTTGTTTCTTCAAACCTTCCCAGTTGTCAGCTTTCTACTATAGCAGAGACAACCTGTCATAGTACACAAACACTGTAGAAAATACAAAAAGATATTATTATAAATAGTGCTGGAAATAAATGAGATTATCAAATAATAAGGGCATTATTTCTCAATATTCTTAATCTATATGAAGAATAACCTAGGGTACCTCACTCAAAGGTACCCTATATTTCAACTACTTCATGCGGCAAATCTACATTAAAGATATAGAGTGTACCTCCCAGAAGGAAATGAAATATGCTTATGTTTATAATCAAATATGCTAATAAACAGGTTTAAGACTTGAAACTAATTTGTTGTTTCAAACATACATTTGTATATTGATAACACGTGTGTGGCACATTTCCAAGGAAATAGCCAGATGTTTCAGCTTTCATCTTCCACAGAACACCTGTGGCACATTTCCAAGGATATGGTCACATGTTTCAGCCTCCATGCATGAAGCACCCACAAGTTGACCCTGATCTTCCAGATGCCTCCACGGGTATATAAAGAGCCCTCTTTCCCCCCAAAATCAGATTCCTCAGATTATAACAACCCACTTTAAATTACCCACCGTCACAAAATGCTTAACTTTTGTATCTGTCTGGTAATGTATTGTCTTTTGCTTTAATTCTCTGTTCATCAAAACCTCAAGACTTAAGGGACATTGTTAGTACATAATGCCCCCTTCTTTCTTGAGATTTCCACTACTTTATTCTGGGATTTAAACCACACCTGTTCACAGGCCCCAGTGTTAACAGGTACCTAAATCCTCTGCTTTTTGCACGATACCTTTGAGGATTAAACAACCCCTGATTTATCAGGCCCTCTGTTAAAT